CGCCGCGGACGGGCAGCTGCGCCGACCAATAACGAGCGCTTCTGGGCGCGCCGCTCGTCTACGGTGACTGAGTCAGCCCCGCCCGGCCTGCGCGCGCAGCCCCGCCTCCGCCCCGCCCCCGTCACCCAATGGCGAGCACTCCTGGACTCGCCGCTTCGACGCCAATGAATTCACTCAACCACGCCCAGCCAGGGCGCAGCCACGCCCCCGGCCAGCGCCCGTCACCCAATGGCGAGCGCCCCCCGGCACGCCGGCCGCTGATTGGCGGCGCGGGCAGCGCTCGGGGCGCGGGAGGTTCGGGGCGCCGGCGCGGCGGTATGGCAGCGGCGGGCGGCATGGAGGACTACGAGCAGGAGCTGTGCGGGGTCGAGGATGACTTCCACAGCCAGTTCGCGGCCGAGCTCGAGGTGCTGGCCGAGCTGGAAGGTGCGCGCGGGGCCCGGCTTCTCCCTCCGGGCATACGGGGCGGGGAGGCCGCGCGCGCGGGAACCCGCGTCCTCCCCTGCCCCCGACTCCTTCCCGGTCCCCTCCCCCGGCCCCTCCCTCGAGCCCCCGTCTCCTCCTCCCGAGCCTCCCACTCCCCGTTTCTCCCCCTGGAACCCCGTCTCCTCCTCCTGGGCTCTGGTCCCCTCCCCCGTGTCCGCGGTCCCTTCCCCCACCTCACCAAGTCCCCTGGCTTGTCCCCCCTTCACCTGGGCAGCGCCATGATGCTCCTTCCCGGCAGTCAGGGAGGGCTTCTCTGAGGAGGTGGAGCAGACATCAGAGAGCAAAGGCTAGAGAAGAACCACCCTTTGGGGAGAAAAGAGCGTCAACACTGCAGGTCCAGGAGACTGTCTTGGGGCGGTTGCTGAGCACCCTCTCTTCTGCAGGGGCGTCGGCTCTGCCGCCTGCCAGGACTCCTCAGCCCCCAGTGGGCCGACCCCAGCTGACCTTTGAGGAGGCCATCACCGGAGGGGATGCTGCCACCCGCCCGTCTCTGGCCAGGTGTCTGCAGAAGGGCAAGGATGGTGCCAGGAAGAGAGAACTGGATAGTGGTGTCCAGAGGGACAGACTTCTGTCCCCCAGTACGTCTGCAGGGTTGGCCGCAGGAGCCAGGGTGGGGTGTGAGGCTGGGGAAGGGTCTCTTGCTCCTCCATGTGTCCCCACAGCCTCCAGGATCAAACGACCACGACTGGAGGCAGTCAAGAGGCTGAACTTCGGGCCAGAGGAGGAGATGGAGGAGCTGCCACCCGACTCCCCTCCGCTGGGCATCACTCCCCCGCCAAGCCCCGAGGTCCCTGCAGAACTGTGGGGTGATGGGTGCGTGCCTCAGACTCGGCAAGGAGCCTGCTCCTTGGATGGGGCCCCGAGGCCTGGAGGGGTGGCCTGTTGGCAGGCTGAGTCCTGAGTCTGAGTCCCGACCCCTCTCAGGCCCTCGGACACCGGAGCCGACACGGGTCCCATGTCGGCCTCGCCAGCTGCTCGCAATCCTGTCCTGCGGCGGCCGCCAGTCCTGGAGGACTACATCAATGTGACGTCGACCGGTGGTGACCGGGCCTTCCTGGTGCTGCGGGCCGACCCCACGGGCACAGGGGTTCAGGTGGGTGCCGTGTGGCTGGCTCGATGTGGCCCAGGGAAGGGTCCTGGGCCTCACATCCCTGGCTGGGACCCTCTCAGCAAGCTCACCTGGCCATCTTCCGCTTGGCAGATGGGGTCTGTGTGTCTGGTTTGCTTAAAGCGGGAACTGGGTCCCCTGGGTCTCCTGTTGGGTCTCCGTTTGTACCTGTAGTCCCGGCAGCACGTGGTAGTCAGGGAGAGCTTCTCGGAGAAGCTAAGGTGGTGTGTAGAGAACCAACAGGGAGAGCGGAAGCTGCTTTGGAGAGCGGTGACGTGGGATCCCGTGTGGTCAGAGGGAGCTTGGGAGGCCCCACCCCCCTACCCCACCCTTGAGGCCAGGCATGTCTCCAAGATGGGGGGTCTACCTGCTCCTTCGATCTGACCCCATCCATGTTGCTTTCCCCATTGGGGTCCCTGAGTAGAGAAGGCTTCCCCCACCTCCCTCGGCCAGCTGATGCTGGGCTCCAGGTCCCTGGGCACTGTTGGGGGGCTGTGGGAGCCCCGTGACTGGGGTGCAGAGGTGACTGAGGCCCCCTCCCTACAGATCCCTCTGCTGGACGTGCGGTGGCGTGGCCGCAGCCGGCTGGACCTGTTGGGTGTGCCCTTCACCTCCCTGAAGCAGCAGGTGGACAGCGAGGTGGGCCGGCTGGGGTGTAGCTGGGCGGGGAGGGGTGGCTCTAGGTGAGACCAAGGTCTGAGCCACCCCGACCCAATCTCTGTCACAGCGGCGGCAGCGGCGGCTCGAGGAGGCTCAGCAGCTCTCAGACATGCTGCGCAGGTGACTCGGTGGCTCTCCCCACCCTGGGACCCTCCCCAGGTCTTGGACTGCCTCTGCCTGTATTTCACGGATGCGGGGTCTGCGTTGCCTGGGGTCAAGGCCCCGGTGGCTCAGACCATGGTGTTGTCCAGCCTCAGACCTGAGAAGGAGGAGGAGGCTGCCCAGCCTGCAAGGACCCCAGAGGAAGAATCGGAGGTGGCCGTCGGCCAGGACACTTCCCAGCACTGCCTGTGGGTCGATGAGTTTGCGCCCCAGCACTACACAGACCTGCTCAGTGATGATGTGAGGCCTTGTTTTTACTCAAGTGTGATTGACTTTCCTTGTCATCGAGAGGGAAAAACCTAGGGCCCAGCTCACTGGGCTGTTGGGTGGAGAGAGATCTGGTCTACCCTGTAGAGTTGTAGATGGGAAAACAGGCCCAGCATGGGGCCGGCTTGCTGCTGGCCACCTGTGAGCTCAGCTGGGAGTCTCTGTGTCCCCTGCCCTGAACTTCCATCCCCCTCCCTGCCGTCGCTATGGGGCTTTTCCTTATATGATGTTGGGGTACTCTGGGGAGGCAAGGCACATCACATAGAACCAAGAGCCCTGTGTAAACTCTGCTCTGTCAGTTATCCCCAAGGAGACTGAGCTCTGGTCCCGAATTGGGGCATCCTCATCTGTGACACGGGCCTGGGGCAGCAGGCTGACAGGGCCAAGGACAGGGAGTCCTCAGGCTGTACCCCCAACCCCCCACAGTTCACCAACCGCTGCCTTCTCAAGTGGCTGAAGCTGTGGGACCTGGTGGTGTTCGGCCGTGAGAGACCTGCCCGGAAGCCCAAGCCCAGCGTCGAGCCGCCCCGGGTTGGCAAGGAGGTCACAGCTTCTGGCAAGTGGAAGAGCCACGAGCAGGTGCTGGAGGAGATGCTTGAGGCCGAACTGGACCCAAGCCGGCGGCCCCGGCAGAAGGTGAGCCCCGCCGCAGGCGCCACTGCCCTGGGCTGAGGGCTGAGCATGGGGTGGATGGCGCCTTTGCAGCCTCTGTGAGCCATGAGGCATGTTTGCTCTCACGAGTACAGGATGTCACGGTCTTGGTCTGTCGTGTTGACAGTGTGAGCTGAGACTTGAGAGTGTTCTCTAGCTGATAGGGATGACGTTGACACACCTTGACAGGCTCGTCTGCTCGTGGGTGGTTCTCGGGTCGGTCACGCTGTAATAGCTGTGGCCTTTCTGGCTCCCTGTGACTTGCTTTCTTGTTCTAATATACAAGCTTTGTGCTGTTAGCAGGCAGGGTTTTGTTCTCACGTGGGGACGACAAGGGGCAGGACATCGGCAGCATTAGGGCTGGGAGGCACGATTCTCAGCCTCTAGCTGCAGGGCAAGAGGGGCTTCCTGGAGGTGGTGCCAGCTCCAGCATGTCGTCATCTGCCCTGGCTGCAGGTGGCACTGCTGTGCGGGCCCCCAGGGCTGGGCAAGACCACCCTGGCCCACGTGATTGCTCGACATGCTGGGTACTGCGTGGTTGAGATGAATGCCAGGTGAGCAGAGAGTGGGGTGGAGGTGTTCTCAGGGGCGGCTGGACCAGGGCCGAGCGGGGAAGGCTGGCCTCCAGGCTTCCTGTGGTTCTGATGGGTCAGAGGAGGCGGGGCCCCAGCCCTGGGGTCTGAGCGTGGTGGCAGTCCGGGGGTCCCAGGTGTGCAAGCCGGGAGGCTCTCTGGACCTGGCGGTGGACACATCACGTGGCAGTCTCTAAGCCCAGTGGGAGGTGTGGCAGCCCACCCCCAGGAGGCTGTCCTGAGCCCCTTTCTGACCTCACTGTGTCCACTTCCAGTGACGACCGCAGCCCCGAGGTCTTCCGCACACGTATCGAGGCGGCCACACGGATGGAGTCAGTGCTGGGTGCTGGCGGGAGGCCCAACTGCCTGGTCATCGATGAGATCGACGGGGCCCCCACGGTGGGGGGGCCTCCAGGGCCGGGTGGGGGTGTGGGGGGCCTCCAGGGCCGGGTGGGGGTGGGGGAGGTACCTCTGAGGACGAGTGGGGTGTGGGGGGCCTCTGTGGACGAGTGGGGTGTGGGGGGCCTCTGTGGACGAGTGGGGTGTGGGGGGCCTCTGTGGACGAGTGGGGTGTGGGGGGCCTCTGTGGTGGGTGGGGGCTCCAGGGCCCCACTCACTTGTGTCCCCCGCAGGCTGCTATTAACGTCCTGCTGAGCGTCCTGGACCGCAGGGGGCCACAGGAGGTGGAGCCCGCAGGCCAGGCTGTGCCAGAGGGCGGGAGACGGTGGCGCCGGGCGGAGAGGGGGCTCCTGATGAGGCCCATCATCTGCATCTGCAACGACCAGTGAGTGTAGTGGCACCAGGCGGGGTCCACCATGTGGGCAGCGGGGCCACTGGGTCCCCAGGGAGAGTCTGCCCACCTCCCGTGGACTCTCGGTGGCAGAGCCAGGACTGGGCTCTGAGTTCCCCTCTCCTCCCCCATGCTTGTGGGGCTTTGGCGTAGAGCTGGTGTGCCCTGGCAGGGTGGGTGTGGCAGCACGGTGGCATGGCAGTGTGGTGGCCTGGTGGTGTGGCAGTATGCTGGCGTGGCGGCGTGGTGGCGTGGTAACGTGGTTACATGGCCTGCTTCCTCCTGCAGGTTTGCCCCGTCCCTGCGGCAGCTGAAGCAGCAGGCACTCCTGCTCCACTTTCCGCCCACGCTGTCCTCGCGGCTCGTGCAGCGGCTCCAGGAGGTCAGTGAGGACCCCAGGGGACATGTCCGGGGCTGCAAGTCCCCCACCAGGCCCCCTGCAGGCTCACTTCTGTGCCCAGGCCCCCTGCAGGCTCACCTCTGTGCCCAGCCCCCTTGCAGGCTCACCTCTGTGCTCAGGCCCCCTGCAGGCTCACCTCTGTCCAGGCCCCCTGCAGGCTCATCTCTGTCCAGGCCCCTGGCCAGCCCTGGGTGTGGTGGTTGGTGGTGTCTGAGCTGGAGGAGCCTATGCTGCTGCGTGGTTCCAGGCAGGGCTGTGGCCGTCAGGAAGACCTGCCCCGCCCCCCCCAGGACAGGGTGCCTCTTGCCTGTGGAAGGGGTGCTCCTCACTTGTGGAGGGTACCCCAGCCCACCCCTGACCCCCACAGATTTCCCGGCGGCGGGGCATGCAAGCTGACCCCGGTGCACTCGCGGCCCTCTGCCAGAAGATGGACAATGACATCCGTGCCTGTATCAACACCTTGCAGGTGGGGGCGGGGGGTATGGC